CCATGCATTTACATGTGTGCCCCAGAGTAATCTAATTTACTTTACAGCAGGATAGTACTTGTAAATACACAAACCATCTTGCAGCACACATATAGACACTGTCCTGGCTGGCTGGAGCACTGCCTGCCAGCTAACCCCACCTTTGTGCCCCAGCCGGGCCCTCTGTAGCACACTGGACTGTGGGGAGCAGCCCTGGGCTGACAGGCTGATCCCTGGGACTCTCTGCCAGCTGGGGCTGCTCTGACCCAGCTCAGTGTGCTGCACATGTGCTGCAGCCATATCTCTGTAGCTCAGTCTGAATGACTTGCAATTCTGGGTTTTAAGTTAACAGCAATAAAAGAACAAAAGTAAAGCCTCCACGGTAGAGCACAATAAGTGCTCTCCTGCAATAACATGCACTGGCTCAGCAACACCAAATGGAAGCTGCTTGTTCAGAGACACCAGACCTTTAGGTGAAGTCTTGAAAACTTTTGCAGGTCAGTTTTGTGCACTGAAGTTTTGTTTATTTGAAAACCAACCCCGGTCTGCAGATCATTTGTTGACTTCAGGCTCCTGTGGGTCCCAGGTGCACTCTGATGTGAAGTGATGAGCCAGCCAGAGATGGAAATTGCTTCCAGATTAAAATCTGTTAGCAAGGTAATAAAACAGTCTGCTGACTGCACAGGACAGAAACTCTCATCACTCTGGGAAACTGAAGCAAAGTTATTTACCTAAAAGCCTCTCTTCCTGCCCATCTCTAAACCAGACAAAGAGTCTGAGCCTTGTTAGGGCCTATTTATGAAGTACAAGGATGTGGAGAGTGGAAAAATACTTGAGGCCAAAACCAGATCTATTCCAGAAATGCAATACCAACTGGAAACAAATGTGCTTAAAATTCAACATGTGGTATCCAGGTTGTAGCTGTATTGGTCTAGAGGAAAAAGCAATCTGGGATCATGGTAGAGGTGATATATTTTATTAGACCAGCTAGATATTTGCAAAAAAATTTCTTTAATAGCAAGTTTTCGGGCACAAACACCCTTCATCAGGCATCAGAGAAAAGATGGTAAAAGTTCTCCCAGGTAGAAAAGAAAGTTCTTATTTCATTGGATTTCAGAGGATTCAATAAATGGAATACTCCTTTGGGCAGGAAATTCTTAGCTGTTAAGGTGTTTGTGCTCGAAAGCTTGCAATAAAAGAATTTTTTGCAAAAATCTAGTTGCTCTAATAAAAGATATCATCTCTACCATGAGCCCAGACTACTTTTTACTCTAGACCAATATGGCTACAACCTAGATACCTGACACATGGAAGATACTGAATTTTATCCAATTTTTAAAGTGAAATCTTCATAATTTCACAAGGAGGAAGCAACTTTCACCAGCTGAAACCTGAGATACTGCTCTTGCCTTTGTTCAAGGTAATTTGCATCATCACAGAGCCTCAAAAGAAAGCTGAGGGACACCTTACCAGCTAAGAACTGCCTGCCCAGAGGAGTATTCTATCTACTGACTCCTCTGAGAAATCATATTGAATATGAACTTTCATTTCTACCCAAGAGAACTTTTACCATCTTTTTTCCAGTGCTTCATGAAGCACAGCATGAAGTTGTGCCTGAAAACTTGTAATTCAAGAAATTTTTTTGCAAAAATCTAGTTGGTCTAATAAAAGATATCACCCCTACCACAAGCCCCCACATAAGCTTACGTGCTTTGCTGATCTGATTTTGCTCATCTTATCCTTAATATGAGGTCCAAAGATTGAGTGATCTTAGATATAGCAGCTATTCTCAGTCACAACAGTATAGTTCACATAGCACAGGACAGCTGCAGTGTCCTTATTCTGAGTCATTTACACCATAGACTATACTACAGAGTGTTTTTTGTGCACTCTGCATAATTCACTCACCCCCAGTGAAACCTGATGCTTCTGGAGATGGCCTGTCCAGGGCCCCATAATTCTGTACCATAGGGATAGAACCACAGAATACTGTATACAGATTGACAGAGTGGGATTCTGGCCTGGCAGAATGTAATGAACTAAACTGAAAGGATGCCAGAGTACCATGGTGTACACTCCCGGTCATGTATAAAAGGGTCCAGAACACTGGCAAATGGATGTTCATGTTCTGTACTTCTCTGAAAGCTAAGCCTTTGAGTGGAGGCCCTGGGAAGGTTTTCTTGAATCCCTCTCCCTCTTGTTATGATTTTTCCTCCAACTAGGATTTCAGGCCTTATCTGGCTTTATGTTTCTATCTGGGTGATTCTATCTGGGTGATCCTTTGTTGCCTGGCTAGTAGGGGTACACTGATAGAGATTTTTGGGGCCAATATTGATAGCCGATATTTAAGGAGGTGTATTGGCCAATACTGATCCAATATCCAATACAGCTGCCTTCAAGTGGTAAGTCTGATGTGGAGGAAGGGGAGGGAAAGGGCTTGGGGTGTGTGGCAGGGCACTGTCGGTGCCTGCCACTCTAAGAGCTGAGTCCAGCAGCCAGCAGGTGCTTGATTGTGGTGGCCATTTTACATCTCTGGCCACCTATATAAACAGAGCAGTTCCCTGCTGGAAGGCCAGGCAGAAACATCACCTGTCTGCAAGGCTACATGCAACATCCTGGAGGTAAGGGTAGGAGCTGTAGGGGGTGGCTTAGAGGCTCCTGGTCCTGGGCATGACCCAAAACTGCACCCTGCCAGGAGTGGGTGGACTGGTGGGGCTCTCAGTGGTGCGGGAGTCCCCAGGAAACGCCAGGCCAGTTACCACCCAGAAAGGCGGGCAGGGGCACCTTAACCCCATATCTCACCTTCGGGTGGGTCATTTATCATCGGAGGTAGTTTGGGCCAGGCACAGCTGCAGCCACCTGAGCCCTGTGCAGTGTAAGACCCAGAAGGGGCCTGGCATGGCTACAGCCATCTGAGCCCCACCAGGGAGGGAAGCCCCATGGCCCCAGTGAGGGGGCAGAGATGAGGAGCCCCAGTGAGGGGAAAAACCAGAGGGCTGGGAGCCCAGTATTGTCTGGGTGTACAGAGTTGCCCCAGGAAGGGGCCAGGGCAAGCTTAGACCTGGTCAGGTAATTGACTGGTCACTACCCCGGTGAGGGTCACAGGAGAGGCCCAAAAGATGGTATGTCTGCCACCCAAGGTATGAGCTAGCTAAAGCCTATGGCCTAAGGGGCCCACTCCAAGAGGGAGCGAGGTAGTACAGGTTGTTGATGCATAAAAAAGACCCTGTGAGAGGGGGTGGAGTGTGAAAGGCCCTAGTGAGAGGAGGGTGGTATGAATGTGTGTGTGTCTGAGGCCTGACAATGAGGCCTAAGCTTGGTCCAGCTATAGGTTGGGAGCAGTGTGTCATCTGGATGCCATCTGCAAGGCTTGGGCTGCAGTGTAGCGGAGGAACAGAGCCATATACAGTGCTCCCTGGCATCGGAGCAAGAATGGGCAGCCTCCTGCCTTAATTAACACCTCAATTAAGTAACAACAAGGCATGGCAGGCGAGACAGGTGGGTGGTGTGCCCAGAGGCAGGTGGGGAAACTAGTACTGTGGCTGGTCAGGGACCCCCACTTTGCCACAGGGGGGCAAATCAATGCCCCCGCAATGAGGGAGGAAGGAGGCAGGGGCAGGCACTGCCCAGGGGGGAGCAGGATACAGCCATGGCTTGTGGGGGGAGGTAGCTCCCACCACTGCTTGCATACCGGAAGGGCGGTGGGGGGAGAGGGGGGAGTGAGTGCCCTGGATCTGCGCAGGGTAGGCTGGAGCTGGAGCTGCATGAGACTCTTCTTAGCAGGAGCTGGGCTCAAAGTGGGCACCAGCGGCACTAGGGGGGGCTGCTCCCACCACAAATTTCACTGCAGCTCCACTCCCAGCCCCATGTCACCAGGTGCAGCCCGGCTCCAAGTCCTGCCTCCACCCACATACTGGGAAGAGCTGAGGCTGTGCTGGGTGGCTGGCAGCGGCAGCGGTGCTGAGAGTGCAGCTGAGCAAAATTTGGGATGGCTGCAGCCCCCTTCCAGCACCGCTGGTGCCTGCTCTGAGCCCAGCCCCCACCAAGAAGAGCCCTTTCTACTGCTGGCTCCAGCCTGCCCCCCCACCCCATAGCATACCCCCACTGCCCTCCCATGGTGCAAGAAGCAGTGGGAGCTGCCCCCCCACCCTCATAAGCCATGCCTCCAACCCAAGCTGCTGTCCCCCCGCCCCTCCTGGGCAGAGCCTGCCCCTGCTCCCTCCCTCCTTCCCTCACCACAGGGCTGTTGATCTGCCCCTCCAAGCCTCTTCCCTCCCTGCTCCGCTTCTGACTTACCAGCTGGAGGCAGCTCTCCATGCTGCCAGCTCTGCTCTGTGTTCCGCTGCGACTGCGTGCAGCACAGGCATTTATCGGCTATATTATCAGCCCCATCAGTCCCTGATGCAGCAAATTTTCTTTATATTGGTACCTATCTGATATTGGACCAATGTATCAGTACAGCTCTACTGGCCAGCATAGACAATGCTGAGTATTGTTTACTAACAGAGAGAAAATGTGATTCTTCTAAGCCAGCCAACTATATATGCAAGGCTTCACTGACCTGTTATTTCTGATTCACCCAACTGCGGAGTGGACTGAGACCCAGTATTTCATGTCTGAAAACACTCAAAGTCAGTTTGCCAACAGTATCTGTGCATCACAGGATAACTGGTATAATTATGAAATTCTCAGCTCCTGGAAGCAAGTGAAATTCAATTCCATCTTTCATTTAAGAAAAGATTTAAATTTCTAGCCCTTGGCGCTGTAGGGAAAAGCTAGAAAAGGTGATCCAAGTGTAACCAAGGGCTCCAACAGCAGAGGGGAAAGGATCCCCAAGACAAAACACAGCAAATGCAGCATGCCAAAAAAAAAAAAAAGAAAGAACTTTTAGGTGTCCGTCTCATGACTATCTGAACACTGGCTGTTGGCAAAATCACACCTGCAAAATAACTGAGAATCTGCAAACATTATACTGAGAGAATAGAATACAGGGGAAAATAATTTCATATAAGAGTACTTACCAGAATCACTTTTCTCTGAGGTTTCAGCAACTTAGGTTTAGGAAAACTGTTGGCTATTGGAGCTATAAAAATAAATATCAAAAAATTACTTCATATTAACACAATTCACAGTTATTTTTAGTACATGCATCAGCCATTTTACGTCTTTGATGGCAGCAGTATAGTATGATAGCAAAGAGTGATGTTTAGGAACAAATTCTTTTGCAAAACTCTCCACAGGTATTACTGTAGGAGCTGCTGGTTGTTTGAAAACCTGGCCGCAGGAGTGGGAATTGATTATATATCTTTAATAAGTAGATCTCAATATACTGTAATATTTGTAATACATGAACTATGCAAAATAGTAGACACTTTTAGTTGGCATTAAATGACACCTAAACTATATGCATACATGTGTAGCTGGCTGTGCCTACATGGCTCTTTAGCCCATCTGTCTTTGATTTCTCTCCTTTCCCCCATACAGTGCAATTTGGAACCTTTTGTTCACACTCCAAAGTTCCTACAACCATCATGGACACAAGCTAGCAAAACCGCCCTCTCTAGCACCTTGCAACTGTGAATGCCAGAGCACCTAACAGTGTGACAAAGCGCTTCACAATGTCTGTAAGAGTCACTGTAGAGATCTCCCTGCCCTTCCCCCCCACCCCATTTGACCAGTGGGAAACAGAAGGCACTGAGAAATGAATTGGTTGCCTCTGGTTCTCTCTGCATGAAATACAGCACCATTGGTTATATTCCTTGTCACATACCTTTTGCTGGGACAGCTGGTGGTTGCTCCACTTTCTCCTTCTTTTTCTTTACTTTCTTGGGCTGTAGAGGGGATAGACTTGTCACACTGGTAACAGTCTCCCCTGAGCTGGAAAAAAAGAGGAACTTGCGAAGAGCAGGAACAAAATCCTTATATCTACAAGCTCCAGCTTATCCCTGTCATACAATAGCATTTTCACTCAGCCACAGTGCCTGGCAGATTACTTAGATCCTGACTCTGTCATGTACTGAAAAATGCAACAATGCTGAGCAGCTTCTGTCCCAACTCACCTGTCTCATTACTTTTCTAGTACACAAACCAGTGAACAGACTTGTACAATCTATGTACTCTGCCTGACCCATGAAGCACAATAGGCCAGATCTTATTTACCCCTTATGTTTCTAAGTAGTAGATACACAGCCTTACAATTGCACTTACTAACATTTATGCAGTTTGAAGTTCAGCATTGTCTGTGTTAGCCAGACAGGTAGGAAGGGAAAACAGATTCAACCAGGTAGATATATAAATCTAGATAAGGCCTGGAAGCTGAGTTGGAGAAAGAAATGACAGGACAGAGAAGAATGAAGGCTTCCTGCCTTCCTGTGCAATAGTTAAAGCAGCTGCAAAGGGAGCAGTGGAAGACATGAGCTCCAGGTCCCCTTCAACAGGGGGCTCAATCCTGTGTTTCCTGCTTCTTAGGAAAGTGCTCTAAGGTGCCTATACACGTGCAGTGAGGCTGCTCCAATACACTGTGATTACAGCATGTTGAAGCAGACTCGATTAATCAAGTCTGCTGGAGCATGGTAATTCCCGCCTCCAGCAGACTCCAGCGTCACAGGTATCAGCATCCCTTCACTGAAAAATGGAGGTGTGGGTGCTTTAACCTAAGCTGGTTTGATGAGCTTTAGTTAAAGAGCCCCCACTGCCATTTTTCAGCATGGGGACACTGATATACGTGATGCTCTGCCCACTTTAATTAGAGCTGCTCTAATTAAAGCTCTTGGAGCTGCTCTAATTAAAGTGCTGCTCCTCCCTTGCCCTCCCCTTCCCCCTTCCTGGAGCCTGTCTATAAACACCCCTAGCTACCAGACCATGGAGCAGGCATTATCCAGTGTCCTCTCCATCTTTTCTCTTGAAGTTGGCCTACTGGACAGCCAAGCAAGATCTGTGGGTACAGGAGAAAGAGAATATGCTACAGAAAATGTGGCTTAGTAAGACAGACAAGGGAGGTGCCATTGGGCATTCATCTGGACTCCAACTTCAGTTGGTGCAGAAACTTGCCCAATGTGATTTATTTATTTTTCCTAATAAATATTACATGTCAGTGAGTTACAGAGCAGTTTGGGAAATACTCAGTCTGTGGCCTGGTGATACCTTAGTTATTAAGCACTGAGCTAAAAGCTGGAAACCTCCCTTCTAGCAGGTATGGGCACCAATGCTAATGAACAGTACTTGGCTTGGGTGGTTACAACAACTGTGGTCCGTTATAAACATGCCTACGCAAGATGGCTTCTCTAGGTGAGCTGTTTCATTCAGAAGTCCTCAAATCCCCCAGAGGTCTCCTACCCTTGATGCAGCTATGAGTTATGCAGACCACGATTAAATGTAGTGTTTCTTAGTTACCTCCATGTATGCAAGATCTGGGGAGCAGGGAGCTCTGTTTGTTTAGCTCCAATAGTAATAGGATCCTGGGCTGTGACTGAGGTGCCTAAGTCTCACCACAGTAAAATAATAGTGACACTATAGTTTTTATTCCTAAATGCTTTATGCTCAGCTTGATGAAGGGACATTTTTCTCCAGATCTTTAAATAAGAGCAGATTTTCTAAACCTGTTTAGAGCCATGATATTCACATGAAGCCAAATTTTTAAACTTTACATGCCTACCTCCCATAGATTTCAAAGAGAGTTCAGTGCCTTTAGAGATTTCTACCATTGCCTGATCAAGAGTAACATAAATCAGACTAGCTGGCCATTTCAAGCACCCAAAACCCAGGTTAACTCCATTACTAGCAGGGGAGTAACTCAGGCATAGATGAAAATACAGCTGAGTTTGTTGTCTTCAGTGAACATTGTGGGTTTCAATATGTAGCACAAGACGTAAAAGTCTTTAAAAAGCGATTAGAAATACCATATTTTGTAATACTTTATTTGTTTTACCATATTTACTCAAATCTAAGATGAGGTTTCTTTACTCCATTCAGCACAGGGGGGAAAACCATCATCTTAAATTCAAGTATGAGCCAGGCAAGCAGCTCCTGCAGCTCTGAACAAAGCCAGGGTGGCTCACACAGCTGACAGGGAGCACTGGGTACAGGGGGAGCATGGGGAAAGGGGCATGCAGGGCAGGGGGAGTATAGGGGAAGGAGCATGGGGTGTGGGGGAAAGTTATAGAGAAGGGACATGCAGTGTGAGGGGAGTGTGGGAAAAGGGCCATGTGAAGCATGGGAAAGGTTCGGGGGGAAGCGTGGGGGAAAGGGTGCGTGGTACTGGGGAGAGTATGGGGAAGGAGCAGCCAGTGCTGGACGGAGCATGGGGAAGAGACATGCTGTGCTGTGGGGGAGCATGCGGAAGGGGAGTGTGGTGCTGGGGAAAATAGGCATAGTATGGGAAGAGTGTAAGTAAAGGGAGGTGTACTGCAAGGAGAACACAAGGAAAGGGAGAAACAGTGCAGGGGGGAGGGTGGGGAAAGGGCATGGAGGAAGGGGAGCATGGAACAAGGGGAGTGTAGGGAAGGGGTGTGAGGAAGGGGGAATGTGGTGCAGGGGGAGCACAGGGAAAGGGACACAGAGGGCGTGTAGAACAGCAGGGGGAGCAACTGTGGCTCCAGCCTTGACTGGGACTGGGCAGTGGAGGCAGAGCCTCTGCTATTGCCTGGCCTGGCCAGGTGCTCCATGGACCTGGCAGAGACAGACAGATCATCTGCAAAGGTAAGGGTTGGGAAGCAGGCACTGGAAGGGGGGAAAGTGACTGGGTGGAGAAGGCAGCAGGGGGAAGACATGGGGGACAAGGAGCAAGATGGGGAGAAGGGGAATGGGGCAAGCTGCCTGCCCCTAGTCACTACTTTCACTGCCACTACTTTTCCTGTGGCAGTGTTGAGGGGATGAATTTAAGAGGACCCTCCAATAACTAGACACAGAAGTTTAGGGTCTAAGAACCCATCAAGTTAAAACGTATGTATAATTTTCGGTCTAAAATCTAATAACTGGGGCTCATCTTAAATTCAGGGTTGTCTTGGATTCAGGTAAATATGGTAAATTTTAGTTTTTAGATTAATATCAATTACACAAGCCAATTTAGAGACAGAGGGAACTTTTAAGTCCCCCTAAAATAGTGTCAACCTAAGCAACGGTAGCAATTTGCTACTGTATGACAACCAGAAATTATAAATAACTAAAAATCCACAAAATTGAACTGATCAGCCTCATTTCACCATCCAAGCACAACACAGTGTTAAAAGGAAAGAGCAAAATATAATGAAATAGATTTTTCTTTCTTTTTTTTTTTGTTTCTTTTGGTTTTAATCATCAAAGGGTTTGTTATAAAAGATCAAAATTATGGTTTAAAGATATGACTGTTGTGCTGTTCCTCTTCAAGCATGGTAATGTGAAATGATTTCATGTAAATTCAGTGTGTTAATGCTTATTCTTCATTTGCCACATAAAGGAGAAACACACAAACTTATTTGTGGCTTGCACTTTCCTTCTGAAGGCAAGAAGTGTTCAGGGTTAACCAGCATAGCGAAATACAATAACTGTACTTGTTGTCTTCAAATCTAGTTCTTCAAACTAAACAAGGAGACTCAGAATGGTTTCCTTGGCTCTGAAACACTGTGTGTCTGTGTGCCTGCCCTGTTGTACAGTTTCTAAAGAAAGTTACTTTTTTTATCTTGGGCTCCCTCCACCTCCTGGTTTCTATTTGAACAGAGTCACTTTATGCCTTCCTCACTACATCTGAAGGGATTTCAGAGAACAAGAGAGAACAAGACATTTGGGAAAAAATGGTCATGGAATGTGTCTTAAAATCAGTGTGACTGAAAAAAGTGTTATCTATAGGTCTGCAGATGCTGAGCATCAACGCATGGTGTTTCTGGACCTTCATTTTGCAAGAACAGGCAATATGTTATGTTTTATGGTTTTTTTAGAAGTCAAGGTAGATTTGTACCCTATGGCTACATCAGAGATATATAGCATAAATTTTGTAAAGAGTGGGCTATGAAGGGACTGCAGGAAGCAGAGCTTCTAAATTGAAAGCAGCACTTAGAATACAAAGGGTAGGGAAGGAGAAGGAAAAAGAAGGGCCAATGCTGGGTGAAGCAAGCTTATTAGGAGAGACAAAAATAAAACAGCTATTCCAATGCAGAATACAGGGGTTATTAACACTTAATCTAGGCAATGGGATAAGAACCTATAGTCTTGGTTTGGACCATACTTAACAAAATCAAGTCTGTGTATGATTTCTTGTTCCACAATTTCCTGTTCAAGTTCACTTTTGAAGTTCTGTTGTCTAATAACAGCCAATTGGAGGTCAGAGAGGGAATGTCCAGGATGGTTCAAATATTCTGCCACAGGCTCACGTGCCTTTTTAAAATTGATGTCAAATTGGTGCTCATTTATTTTTACATGAAGGGATTGCCTCGTCTGTCCAATGTAGACAGCAGAGGGCACTGTAAGCAGGTGATAGAGTATATGACATTGGTAGAGGAGCAGGTGTAGGAGTAGGGGACAATCAAAGGGATTCGGCTGTTCTTGTCTCAGGGTCGGTACTGGAGCAGGTCACAGCAGATTCTGAATTTGGCTCTATTGATCTGAGTAGCTCCAGTTTTCCAATTATATTGTAAGTGTAGGAACCCCTGCTCCAGATTCTTAAGGTGTGCATTCTGGACAGTTGGATCAGAGCAGTTAGGGCTGTAATGTGGAGCTTAGCTGGAGATGATGGATCTAGCCGTGTACTTAGGATAAGAGCTCCTGGCATGTTGGTAGCTGTAGCAATTGGTAGGTTTCTAATAC